GCACGCCTTGATTATTATAATGCAGACAAATTTCTCTTCATTTTGTAAAGACACAAATGGATGATCGCCAAATATTTGCTTCCTGATTTTAAATGTAAATGAAATGGATTTCTCTTAAAAACCTACATACATATAAGGCTGGTGTAAATGTATGTATATGAGTGTATGAATGTAAATAAATAATTTCAAAATAAAATTTTTCGCAAATTTATTTGCGTTGGATATTTATTTGGCGTTGTTAGGCACGTACTGTCGCTTACATACACATTTATGTACATACATACAAATGTATTAGCTGCATTTATAGATACTTTTGAAAATTTTCTTGGAAGCGCAGCAAATTTATTGGAGCGTAAAATTGCAACGCAAGCAAATGGAAATTGACAGGCAGAAGGCGTAGGCCGAAAATTCTATGCAAACTTTTTTTTTTTCTCTTTGTATGTTGTATATGAGCCTTGTGCAAATCTATAAAGTATATACTTTAGCCAATGAGAAATGCTAGAATTTTTTTAAACATATCAGCGTATTTCAATATGAGTATCTACTCGTACTTTATACGCCAATATTTCTCATCATATCTAAGTATCTGCAAACCTCTATAACCCGCACTCAAAATGTGTCTCAATCTTTCAACAATATCTTTCTCCGCCTTTTTGTACTTATTTGCAGGAGTTCACTTGCGACGTTTCCGTCGAGGGTGGCAAATCCACACAGCCACTACAGTTTTCCTTCACCTTCTACGACCTCGACGGCCATCATGGCAAAATCACAAAGGATGACATTGTCGGCATCGTCTACACGATATACGAATCGATCGGCAAGTCAGTGGTGGTGCCGCACTGTGGCAGCAAAACAATCAACGTCCGCCTCACTGTCAGCCCCGAGGGCAAATCAAAATCAGCCGCAGCCGCCGCCGCCGCCGCTGCAACAACTGGTGGTGGTGGTGGCGGCAAGTTGAAAAAGATGGCCAATGGCGCCGGTACTGGTGCTGGCATATTGGAGACAGCGACAAAGACAAACGCCAGTCACAGCGGACATGGTCATACACGTCGTCAGCATCGCTATCGGCCGCGCAAACTAATTAAATCGGATGATGAGGACGATGACAGTAACAGTGACAAGGAAAAGGAAGCGGCGACAACTACAAGTGCCGCTGCAGCTGCTGCCTTGGCGGTTAACAACAGTGTGGGTGGTGGCGCAGTGGGAACGGCGGCGATGGCAGCCACAACTGCAGGCGGCAAATCAAAAAGACATTCCAGCGCCAGCAAGTACAATAAAATGAAGGCCTCAGCCGCGGCGGCAGCGGAGCAGCAGCAATTGTGGTATCAGCAGCAGCAGCAACAACAACAAGAGATGGAGGGAAATGCGGCAGACCAAGAGCAACAGCAAACACCACCACACATCGTTGCTTCCGCTACTGGTGCTAGTGCTGATACGACGGGCATTTACCCACACGAGAATCTCTATGAGAATATGACTACAGCGAATCTCAAATGTTGCACGAAGGATGCACCATTGCTGAAGGTGGAAGATTGTCGCGGCTGTGAGGCGACAACGACGACGACCACGCCAGTTGTGGCGAGTGGCGGTGCACTGCCACTTACGACGACCGGCTATGGGCGCTCACCAACGGATGTGTACATGCGACAGGCGTCTACGCGCGTCAAAATGCTACGCAAGGCGCGAAAACAAAAGGTAATTAATAATCCCTTAATGAGTGTATATTTGTTTGTAAGAGTATGTGAAAAGGTGGCAACAACATTGCAGAAATTACAAGAGGAAACTGTGGAAAATTAAACGGAAGTATTGATATTGAATAATTGCAGCTCAACTATGATTTATGGGTTTTCGAATTCGATTTGTTGTTGCCAAGTTTCATTCCTCTATTTGTAAGGTAATGCAGTTATTGATGTTTATGTGCACGAAAAAAAAGCCTTGTGGATGCATGTTTTATCTTATTTTATTTGAATATCCATATTCGGTTTAAATTGTATGCAATGTCGCCACTAAAAAATTACTTTTAATAAAATTTAGTGCATAAATATATAAAAACCTAACCAAAATATTTAGCTAAATAACAGACATGCCTAAAAAATATTTCATATCGATACCTGAGTGGCAGAATGACCTATCTCAGCAGCCAGTTCGAAAATGCGCTATCTCAGGGCGTTCTTCAATCAAATACTGAAGTACGGGTTTCTTGAAAAGTTTTCTGAGATAGGGCGTTTTCGAACTGGCTGCCGAGATAGGTCGATCTTCCACTCATATAACTATAAGCCCAAGGGAGTGTTTATAATGGCAGTTTGAAGTTGACTTAACGACCCTATTGCCGCGCTAAAGGGAATACTCAACACATGGATAATGATTTAACTACTGCGTCCAGGACTTTGACGCCGAATATTGTTATTGTTTCCTTTTGTCATCTACTCAAGAGGTCATAATAACGACCGTGACATTATCATCTACACATATTGGAAATATGTTGGGTGTATCGGAATTTATTCTGGACTAAAAAGTGTTTGACTTTCTACAACAACCAAAACGGAGTCAGACCAGATTAACTTGTACTAATATCATTCTTAGGACGTTAAGGTGTTAGATTGCTTCTAGATGAAGGTTTGTCTATAGTCCTTGAGGCGCCTCAGCTTCCTTTAATTTTCAGCTGAGGAGATGCGTGCGGTAGAAACCCCGTAAGTGTTGCTTGTTGAGAGAAATTTTAGTCCATCAACTGGGAACGCAAGAACTTCACTATCTAGTTGGTATTCCAATGACATCATAACGCATTCCGTGGCCTAACTATTGGCGGCGCAATTTGTAGATTGCGTCACACTAGTTCCCAACGACCATTGGCCAATCGGCTTCTATAGTGTCTTTGCTCCAATTGCTGTCAGTGAGGACCCGGTCTTTACTTTGTTGGCGGTAGCGTTTAAGTTTGCGGAGAAGCAGAGCAAGCTGTCAAACGTAACGCGCCAAATTTCTTCGTTCAGGCTGCAAATAGAGTCGTCATACATTTTTTAGGTAAGGCATTATTTTTAATTCTTTGAAGAATCCGGAAGTCATCAATGTCATTCCACTAAGACGAAATCAGAAATAATCGGGGTATGAGATCAAGCACTCGCTCTCTGGCCGAGAAAAGAGTTTTGCTTTCATTTAGAGGAAACCATTTTGCGGAACCACCTCATAAATTTGCCTCAGTTTTTAAGTACGAGCTCGAAAAGAAACAGATTATTGTCCAGCATCCAGATATCCCAAATTTTAGCTGAGGTGAGGGGGAAGACCTTTTGTGCCTTTGAGTAGCCCTTTATGACTGACCCTTCGAGCAGGACAAGTGCTATTTAGTGTTGTGCTGAATTGTCGGTAGCAAATACTCGTTACCCAATACTTTGAAAAGATTTCGGTACCCAATACTTCCTTTTCGGTACCCGATACCGATTTTATGCATTAAACCATCGTCAGTATATACATATATTTCAAGTTTAGAAAAAATTTGTTTCATTGCTATTTTATGTGATATCGGCTAAAAATTTGAACTTAGCGCAACAGTTAAATACTATTTTACCTGTTATACATTAGTAGATCCAAGGATAAAAAATGGTTTAACGGATGAAGAAGCTTTTGAGGCCTTCAAAGATAATATCGTTCGATTCATGTAGAACAAAAATTCTTTAAACAAAGACGGTTTCTCTGCATTATGGCGACGGACCGACATAATGTCATCTCTAAACTGGCGCATACAGCGATAAGGAACTGTCCAAAATCCTCATGCCTATACTATTTTTATGTAGCATCCCACAATGACGCGGCGTTAGCGCCAAGCAAAATGAAGTTAGATGCAGAAGACGGAAGGGTAGGGAGAGGACAAAAAGCGAAAGAGAAAACGAGAATAAAAATAAGAAGAAACAAGAAAACGTCAAAAATTACTACGCGTTGATTTGGTTATAAGTAGCACGCGCTGGCACTCGTTGGCATTGGAAAACGCATCGCTTGGCGCTCCAATTTAGGGACGGCATATACATACCTATATAGACTTTTCTGTTGAAAAAGTATTAAAAGCTCTATTACGTACATTCGGCTTTTGATAAATGAGTCTCCCCTGAACCGCTTTTTACATATTTTTGGTATATGTGTCCATTTAAAATAGCGACTCAGCACATCACTACTGCTATTAACATTAGTTTCGAGACTCGATCTCGGCTCACGTCGACTAAAAAATTCATAGATGGCTTAAACTCAGTGGTTACAAAAAATGTATTTTTAATAATAACGTTCTCTGGCGTAGTAAGAGCCGCGTTTTTAATACATAAGCCCATATTGGGCTCAGATGATTTCCCTTTACTACCGAAGAGAGATATCAGACTATATGGCACCACAATTGTATCCCCATGTCCAAAACCTGTGCGAACTCTTAGGTAGAATCATTACAGGGTTCCCAAACGTGTTTTTTCCCGCTGGCCTTGGTGGTGATTGCGCATAGCAACATGGATACTTTTGGTTGATTGGTTGGTTTTAGTGCTTCCTAGTAGTTACCTTGGATACAATTAGCTTATTTTGCCTTCAATTGGATAAATTTTTTGTAAGACGTGAATTTTATCTATGCCCTGCTGTCTTTTGCTTAATATTCGTAAGGCCTGATAATTCACATTGGAGATGGTGGACCCATCTTCTAGCTGGCAGCTTGTATGTTTACCTGAGCGTCTGTGACCAAAAGTATTTGAGATACAAATTTCATAAAAGGAGCAAGTACGTCTTCTTCCCTGGGTGTGCTAGGTGCAAAGTTGAGTAGAAAACGAATCTTTTAATGAAAAGTCCAAAATAAGTCGAAAACTTTTGATTGTTTTTGATTATTGACTAAGGAATTGCTTTTTCTTAAAATTTCATATCTTTCACTTAAATTTATTTGAACAAATCGAGTAGGTAAGAGATCTGAGATTTTAGGAAAAAGCTTTTCCTTAGTTTTTATGCATACGGTCCATTATAAGTAGTCAGTGAGGTAATCTACTTCATTAAAGAACCGAATATTTTCAAGAAAATAGGAAACTTAGATATTTTAAAAATTGTTTGGCTACTCTTATTTCTATGTACCAATGATCCTTCCTTTACAAAAACAAAATATATTAAAAGGAATCACAGCCAAATTCGTTCATTATTTTTTGAGTTAACGCAAAACGAAAATGAGGCTTGCATTTACAATGCATATGCATGTATAAACGTATCTATGTATGTATGTATGTATGTATGTGGTAGACTAATTTTTGCTACAGCTTTTTTGTAATTCTAAATTTTAGTTATACAGTTTTTATCTTAAATTTTTGTATGCATAATTTTTATTTCATTTTGTTTTCTGTTTTCTTTTTATTTCGTTGCATTTTCAACAAAATGACGTTGACGGCCACCACAACAACTACAACAATCACTACAATCAACCTCAATACCAACAACTTGCCTTACATTACATTGATTGCATTGCATTAAAATCATCATCTTTACTGTTATTGCATTTCATTCAACTTCATCTCGCGAAAATCCCATTCATCCTTTCATGCACTCATCAACATGCAACAACATGCAACAACAACACAATCAACTACCACCGGCAGTTTCAGGACCATTGCCATGAAACACGTCAGCGCAGCCTGTCGGTTGGCAGCGAAGCTTGCTGGTATAATCGACATATACAACAACAAGCACAGCATCAAGCACAGCAACAGCAGCAGCCAGTAAAATTGGAACAGCCGCAACAGCAACAGCCACACCAGCATCAGCAATTAGGTGACGTTATCGATGGCGTTCAACTACGTAATCCGCGCAAGAATGCCACGACTGTCTCCTCCGCCTCAACAATTTTGGCGCCACGGCAACGCAACTCTGCTGAATGCTGGAAGACCGCATTGAATCGCAACGACTTGATGAGCATTATACGGGAGAGCATGGAGAAGAATCGTTTGTGTTTTCAGATGAGCGGGTAAGCGCTGGGTTCTAAGGGGGGGTTTGGGTGTTGGGTGGAAAAAACTTGTATTATTTACATTCACACACAAGTACACACACACACACGAATGCAGTCATATACGCATGCGATACGGCGCGCAGCGAAAAGCTAGTGCAGGCAAAGCCAACAGCAACAAAAACAAATAGCATCCTAGCAATCCAAATTTTTTGTTCAAAAGGACGTATAGCGGAGAACAAAAGAAAATGCATTTTTTGTTAACTAATGGACACCCTTAAACGTTGATTTGCATTTTGCCAGTTATTTTTTTTTTGTTTTCGTGCTTTTTCATTCACCTACATTTTAATATTCGTTATTCGCTGTTGTACAATACTCCTACTTCCGTATTAATTTAATCAATAATTTGATGGTGCATGTATTTTTTGTGATTATGTGAATTTAATCAAAATTGATAGTGAAAGTCGCCAAAGGCGCAACAAATTTTCAAAACTTTTAATCAAATTTTTTACAAAAAATAGCCATTCAATTTTAATATAAAAGTTGTAAGTTTGAAGTTGTTAAAAAATCCCGTTGATTTTTGATATTTTTTTACGATGTTTAGCATTCGTTATTTGGAAGAAAACGCTCAACACCGTCAGCAAAAAAAATTATCAAAATTCAACGGAATTTTTTACCAACTTAAGACTTGCACCAAAATTTGGTTGACTATATATAACTCGATTTTTTTTAAATCTGATTACAAATTTGCTGTGCTTTCCTAAATTTTTTGTAAATTTCTCTTGAATACTTTTTTAGCCAAACTAATTAGCTATATGTTTCAATAAATTTTAAATTGAGTGAGACCCGTTAGCCTCCACCTAGAACCTCGATGCGGGCAGCTTAGCAAAGTTAAGATTAAATACTTCTTAGACCTGAGAGTTTCCGAAAGCTTCCGAAATATCTCAAAAATCCTTAAAAATTCTGAAACCAAACGGAAAAAATTCGAAAAGGTACAACCGGTAGAATCATAAAAAGTCGCGGAAATTCGTATAAGTCCCGAAAAAACCCAGATCACGCCGCAAAATTCCGAAAAGCCCAAGGCAATCCCGATGTATGCCGAAAAAGAAACACGATAAAAAGCCTCAAGAACTTCGAAAGGCCTCCAAAATAAGCCAAAATTTCGATATAACTCGAAAACTAATTCAGAAAAAAAGGAGGCCCAAAAAAATCTTAACAGTCCCGAAAAAGTGCCACACTGAAAAATACCGAAAAGTGAAGAGATAATCCAGACATGTCCTGAAAAAGGAAACTCGAAAATCTAGCGAGGTCTCAGAATATCACAAAGGACCCCGAAGAAAAGCAAAAAGTCCCGAAATTTCTCGAAAACTAAATCAGTAAAAAACTATGAAAAGTGCCCAAAAAACGATTTTCGGCAAAAGCAGGCAGGGGAAATCCCGAAAAACACAGAAAATGTAGCGGAAAAAACAGGAAAAATGCCGAAAAATCTAAAGCTGATCTCGAAAAATTTCGTCAAACTCTAAAGGTCCCGAAAAAATTCTCGAAAATAAGAGAATCCCAAAAAATCCCATTTTTTCCGAAAGGTGAAAAAAACATTGAATCTAGAAAAGTCCCGAAGAACTCTAAGTGCTCCCGAAATGTCCGGAAAAACGTCCCGAACGAGAATTCCAAATAGTCAAAACAAAATCCTAAAGCGAATAATCTAGAAAAGTGCCGA